AACAATTCCATCATTATCACTGCATTTCTCCAAGATTGCTTCTTGAATTGCTAAATGCCAGTGATCACCTATTTCCCTGTGCAAATAATAAAAGGTTTAATTAAGCACGTCTACTTTTAAAGAAGTTACAAAAGATGACAGAGGAACAAAAGCATTAAGAGCTCTAGCAGCATGACAGAATACTGGTCTGAAGTACACAGATGATTCTGATCCAGTAGTTTTTATAAAAATGCATGTTTTCTCCCATCCGCATGTTCTATGCTTTGGTTTGCACTACCAAGATGTCTTAGAGTATACCAAGTAAAATATTTTGGGATTTATCTGAAAGATATATTCGAGAGGACATTTAATGCACTCCAGCAGCTAACAGGTATTTAATTTGTAGGATCTGATCGCAGTAGTTCAAAGCATAAGACTTTAAAGTTGCATATAGCATAATGCCAGGTCTTCAGCATCCTTTATTTTTCCTCTACAGATGTTCCCCTCTTGCACTATGCTACTTAGGCATACTCTGTACATTTTTGATTACTTGAGCTGAGATCAAGAACTTGGATAAAGTACAAAACCATATATTAAGGCATACCTACTTGCAACTACTTTGGAATAAAAATTGAAGACCTCAGCTTTCTCCATTCGTAACAGAACAATTTTTGGTTTTATGACATACAGGAATTCAATGTGATATTTGAAAATCCCTTCAGAAAACAAAGGAAGTTCCCTTTGGTTGTAACATGCATGGTATTAAACTTCTTGGGCAGAATATTAATCTCTTGGGCAGAATTTTCTATGCGTGCACATGCATGCATGGTAACTATATCTCTTCAGAAAGGAATACCAAATTCAGTGAGCTACTCAGCATCTACTGTGTCAACAGCCAGACAAAATTTAGTTATATTACTCACCTTTCTAAGATGAAAGGCAGAAGAAAAACATTTTATATTGCTCCTGATTAAAGAAACTACTTGGGTAGGCATTAAGAACATTCAGAAGTGGAATCAAGCCTGAAAAATCCACTTGCTACAGAATCAAAAGTTTTTTTCTTCAAAAGGAATCTCCCGACACTTTCAACCATCATTCCCCACCTCTTCAGAGTTATGTGCACAGAACTGTTTATCTGAAAGCCAACGTAAAGACTACTCATATTTAGTTCACAGAGTAAACATCCTTCTGTCATACTCGCAGTAATCTCATCCTTGCCAGGACTCAACACAACATTCTGGCATGTGAGACAGACTGAGTACTTCAAGCTATCAAATGGTCAGGTCAAGTAAATTGTGTGCCCACAGTCTGCTTCAGAAAATTCAATTCTATGAACCAAAAGGAACAATCCACACTTTGGGTGTTGCAGCCTGTTATCACCACCTTTCTATCTGAAGCTGCAAGCAGTCAAAGTCATCATCCCACACCTACTTAGACAGGCTGGCTGTTGTTCCATGAAGGACACTCTTTAGCTGTTCCTACCTCAGCAGAAGAAGAATAGGAGAAGACAACAGTATACAGACCTTTCCCACTTTCGTTGTCACCTCTACCAGCAACCACAGAGCAACATTAAATGGTCAGGCTTCAGCAAGCTGAAGGAGCTTCTTAGCTATTCAGACACTATTCATCACCGAAATGGTGGCTGCCTTCCCCAAACAAAGCAGCAAGCTGTACTTGTCCCAGAAGGCACCCAAAGAACATGCCGAGTGAGCTCCAGAGACAGAAGTTAGTAAAATCTGATTCAAATTTTGGCAGGCTTTTAATGAAAAAGTATTTTATTGTTAAGATTAACCAACCTTTAAATATATCACTAGAGAACACAAAACATATGTATTTTTTCTGAAGGTGCTGCAGTCTATCTGGCCCTAGTAAGATAAAGCTAAGCAGAGGGAAAACAATTTCAACAATCTTCATACACCCTTTAGCCTACTTGAATGGCATCTGCACAAACAATGAGTCTACTTTTTCAATAATACTATCAAAAGCTTTGAGCAGTTTTCACAAAGTAAGGCCAAAATTCTTGAAATATCTGCCTTCTTTCTTATTTAGGATAAAAAACAGACAACACGTACAATGTAAAACCCCAGAAAAATTCAAAGATACATCCTGCTCATACCAAAAGACAAAGTGTTTTCTTTTTACTAGCTAAAATTGGAGGGAATATACAGGTCTCATTCCCTTTTGAGAACAGTCTGAACATAATTTAGAAAATAATAACATGTTGTGCTCAGAATGTTAGAGAGATAAAATAATTTAAAGTTACAAAAGCGTGGAAATCTAGGCTTGGGTTCATTCCCTCCCAACTCAGGACTCACATCCAAGGGGTCAGATTTTTCTTAAACATGCTGTTATCAGCACAAAGCCAGCTACTAAAAGGAGAGATCATATTGTTCCAAGTAGGCAATCATCTTCTCAACTGGTTTGCTGTAAACCAAACATTCTTTTTCCTAAACACTGCAAGTCACTCTGTAGTGCTGTACCACAGTACTCTGAAGCACTCATTTCCTGTTTGGAAATTTAAGTATATTATTCATATACTGTGCTTACTGTGTTTTGTAGACCTGGGATGTGAAACATTAACAACTGTCAACTAACTTGGAGTTGCCATAATGAAACAGGCCCCTCACAAAAGGAATGACTTGCCCTTCCATGATCCTGCACTTACAGCCCATCAGCTTTCAGTGTGATTCTTGCAGGAATGCAACAAATGTTTTATGAACCCTTCTCATCACTGTTCTAGTGGCAGATGCAGAAAAATTGTTTATTCAAATGACGCCTAGATTGCTATTTCCAAGGACAATTCTGCATCTGGCATAGTAAATGCCCAGGACATACAGTCAAAACAAATCGTAATTTTAAGTCAGCTGCTGTGCTCTGAGGGTTCACAATGGCCAGGTAAATTTTCTGACTTTAGACAGTGGAAAGAATTACTGACTCTATCAGCACTGATAAATACAAATTAACCAGCATATTTCCCAGATGATTCTCAAATCAATACAGAAGAGCACTATTACAGATGGCTTCTTCTACCAGCTACTGGCATACTGTTGAAGCATACTCAAATTGTTTATAGTTAGCATATAGTAGCATGATACAAAGAACAGCTTAAAACTTATTCCTTTAAACATATTTTGCACCCTTTGCAAATGCCTCATCTGGAATCAAAACACATTTGCAAACTTTAACACACACACAGTGGTATATTCTGTGTTTCAGCTAATCTGAAGGCATTCAGCTCTTCCAGATTGGAATAAGAACATTGCCCTTCTTCCTCCTTTAACATGAGCAGTTGAATAAAGTATTTCTTCTTGCACAGAGGGTTTGTTGTTTATTTTTAAGTCACTCCAAGGGTGTGAAAAACATACTCCCTTAAGCAATAGCCCTCTGCAAGACAGTTAATGGAAAAGAAATAGGCTGGAAGGTACAAAATGAAATTGGACCAGGTATCCCACTAGGACTGTAAACCATCAGTCCAGTAATAAGAGACAACACTCAAAAGGAAAAGTCTAAAAAAAAAAAAAGGGGGGGGTTAATGAATGTATTAGATAGAAGTTGCAGTATCCAAATAGCTGAATGGACACAGATGCTGGTTTATAAAACATAGCTTAACACACTTGTTGACTGGGTCGGTACTTAAAACAAGTCTACAACAAAGGCATCCCTTTCTGAGAAGACTGTTTTCAAAGTAACATCCCAGTTACTAGTCCCATTAACAGTATAACAACTAATACACTAAATGTCACACTGAAGCTTCAGGAATTGACTGATCAGTCCCAGTACTACAGAAATCTATCTCCTTTGTAGGACACTGATATCACCCAAAACTCTTTGCAAATCTTATCTTCCATCCTTCTATAAAAGGATCTATCAATCTGCCTCAAGAACAATGCCTACATGTCCAGTTTTGCTGAAGCTATCAAAGAAACAACAGTGGGGGTCTCTGTCCACGACAATCACCAAGCCTTAAAGCCAACAAGAAACAGTTTTTAGGGTAGTTCTCTATGCTAGGAATAAAACTGTCCTCAGCTACACTAGCTAACACCTTTCTAGATAATAAGAAACTAAAATAACAAAGAATAACTAAAAGTGAAACAAAATTGATGATGTATACCTCAAGTTAGCAACCACTTCTGTATACGCTCCTCTGTCCTCTCCATATTCTTCAATCTCAATTAGCAGGACAATATTTCTCAAAAGCAGCACAGCACCTTCATCTTTCACTTATGTAACCCCATCAGGGTAAAAGTTGCTTCAAAGAGGTAACTAAAGTCCTTATACTGCACTGAACAAAGATTAGAAACGTGTACCTGATAGAACCAATGTCTTAATTCTCTGTGTAAAGCCCCAACCCCTAACATGATCTAGCCCACATCAAGGACAGTAGGTGAAGCTTTAAAAGACTACAAACATTTAATTATCTTACCTTAACTCCTGACACATTATTAAGTTTAGAACTATGCTTAGTTAAGCAGTCACATTGCCATAAGTTAGCGAATGCTTTTAATTCAGCATTTCAAATGCAAACCACATGACTTCTATCACAGTTTAAATGCTTCAGAATACTTAATCCTTGAGAAATCTGTAATCTTTTAGGATTGGGCCCCAAAAGTCTTCCCTATCAGTTGCTAGTATTGAACATTTACAGAATCAATTAATGGAGAAGAATAAGTCATTGCTCCAAACAGCATGATTAAATGCCACGCTCTTAAATAAATGACTCAAAGACAAGAAACAAGACAATGAAGGACAGAAGATAGACACTAAAATTATGTCTTCCCACAGATGCTAAAGACAGATCTTGTACAACTGGCTTGCTTCTTTCAAGGTATGCGTGTTTACTCACTTCTAAACACCTCCCAGAAGACGAAAGCAGACACTTTCATATGAATACAGAAATACAGAGAACAGTTTTTACTTACATAACAGGGTCAAACATATTGCGAATCTTTAGACATGGTGTCAAGCTGTTTGGAGGTGAATTTCTTCTATCTAGATGAAATGCTAAAAAAAAAATAAATTTAATAGTATTTATTGACATGCACAATATTACCTAGGTAACAACTCCATACATTAAAAACAGAATACTTTCATCCACGTATGAAAAGGCTTCACACAAACTAAGTTTCCCCAATCTTTTACTGCACTAAGGAAAATGTATCACACCTACTGACTATTATTATTGTTTTTTTAATATAGAACTTCTAGATGTAAACAGATAATGCATTCTCTCATGTTCAATCCATAGTAAATGAAAGGAATTAAGGGCATTTAAAAATATCATACAGTTGAAAATAAAGTGTTGGTATCGTGTTTCTGAAAAGACAGATGCTCTTAGAATCTGGATCAAGTTTTTGGAGCTGTAGATTAATACTCAGTTTCAAATACCTAATAAAGTAACTTCCCTTTCCACTCTGGGGGCAGTCTGTTGTCCATTTGACTAAGAAACAGGGAGAGTCAAACAGTCAAACACACATCTATGTTGCAGTAACAACTGTCAAGGATGGAGCTTTTGTAGCCTAGATACTCTAGGCTTGTAATCAGAAACTTGGGAAAAAAAGAAATGAAACGCAGCAAAAGACACAACGGATACAAGAAAAAATGGGAATTAAAAATAACAAGCAATTCTTTCAAAGATGAGTGGACCCATTAAATATTCATATGAACTGCTAAAATAAGTATCTTTCTTCTAAAGTTCCTGAATTCTCTATTTGGGAGTCACAACAGAAGACTGTATCATGAAAAAAGGAATAATGATTTAGATTCAGATAAGTCAGTCCCACATCACGAGGGGCCAATGATGTGTGTATACTGGCAAAACAACTTCCAACACTCAAAAGAATTTTCACTTTGAAGATTTGGAGATGAGTAGATGCAAGAGTTTAAGGATGAAAACTCTCAACAAGACAAAATCATGTTCCAAGCTTCTCCTTTTCAAACCCTACTATGTAGATTCAAGACGCCACATTCCAGATGTTACAAATCCAAATTCTGGGCAGCAGTGCTTGGTCCAAGACGCATCAACATCACTGTTCTTCTGTAACTCATCAAAACAAAACCCTACTGTCAGTCACACGGAAGATACCACACATAAAACTGCTAATGATGAGAAAGCAGCCTGCAGATACAGCACAAACTTAGAGAAATTTGAGGTTGAAAAGAAAAAAAAAAAAGCATAGTTACGAATTGTAAGTTACAAAAAGTGGCCTCTGAATCTAAAATGAGAACTACCACAAGTTCCTCAAATAATTATAACTGTTTTTATTAGAGCATACAAGCACGCAGTCCAAGTCACCAACAACTATAACAATTGTCCAGTCTTTCTTGAGAATGGATTTTTAACTATGCTGGTGACACCGCATCCATCTCTGAGCTGCCTACAGTTTAAGGACAAGTCCTTTTTCAATAGCACATGGTTTTGTAAAGTTTTTTGTCCCAGGTTAAAAATTACACAGAGGGTACACAATAAAACTTTACAGAACTAAGGAACATTGAAAAATAAAAGGACTTACCTTACTCATGTAGGTTGGCTCCAGCAGATCAAGGGAGGGTGAAATGTCACCAGCATATTGTACACTGGGGCACAAGACCATACTGGAGAAGGTGATCTGGGGTGGCCTAGTCATGGACCCGGACCTGAAAAGGCGTGGGGTTGAGGAAATTATGTGCTGATTGTTAATAGCTAAGTTTATTCAGCACATTCTTTTATTCCAATGATAAAGAATGGTGAGATTATTTGCAGAAACTGAAGGCACGCAGGATCAACATTTCTAAAATGCTATTTCTGAACTAAAAAAAGATAAAATACAGTCATTTAAGAAGGCAGCTACACCAGTAAGCTGTGCAAAGTAACAAAATATAAAGTGCTTTTGTATGCATCTTCACTAACACAATCTCTGCCTGCTCCCATTCCTAGTAATCTTTCAATTGAAAGCTCAAGAGGATTTCAGGTGTTTGCAAAGATGACTCCAGTCAGCAGAACATCAGCACTGGTGCAAAACTGATTTGCTACCAACTTTATGTAAGCTCACAGTAGCAGAACAGAGGTGCTCAGACAAGTGTGGTACATGAAAATAAAGATAAATTCTGCTTTTTCTAGAAATGCTTTCAAGTCAGCGTAAGTTAAAAGAAAAGTTTTTCAACACAGATGTAAATCCTTATGCATAAGGGAAAAACAGAACTATGGAAATCACTGAGGTACAAAATAATTGCTACCACAGTAATAAGAATTAAAATGTAATACCAGAAATTAGATCAAAAGGGAGGCTAGTGAAGAAGCAGGCAAGGAAAAAAAAATAAATCAGTCTGTCTCGACAACAAAATTCAAAATAGTGCAGTAAACAGATGTCTCTTGAACTTCATTCCACATCTGTAACAACTAATTTTACCCCTTCCCTACGAAACAGGGAGTTTAAATTAATAGGTAACAAAGATATTCAAATTACAGTATTGATTACTTAGAAGTTTACACTGATGTGGAACATACTAATTATTTCCACAGCAGCAAAAGCATTCTTGTAGGACAAGTGTTAACTACACTTAACTAAGCATCTCAATTGCCATTTCTTTTCCTAGGTCTCAACAGTTAGGATTACGAGACAAGAGCAAAAACATGGATAGGAAATGAGAAAAATGGAAGCACAACTCTGTGTAGTAAATCACTGATAACTATTTTAGGACTTTCTTTGGGACCTGAGAGCACTTTCAAGAAAATCCAGTCACGCTGCATCTCAGTCACACTGCATTTTATTACTTTAAACTGATTAAGACAGCATCATTCCATACTCAATCATCAACAGTCAAAAGGGAGCGTCTTCAACAACCCCTGCACCACTGTGACTGAAAGGGGTCTATGACAGAAAAGTGGCTTCTGCACAAGCTTCAAAATGAACACAAGTTGTGGCACAGCTTCAATACCTCTTGATCCACTAATGTGTTACTGCAAAAGTGATTACCCAGCATCTCTACCATGAGTTATAAAACAGCACAACAAATCTTTAGATTCAGATTCGATGCATTTGATGAGATTGAAGACTCAGATAACTGTATTTCTGACAAGCAGATGTATGCATGTTAAACCACAGATAACTAATTTATCAAGTACTAGCCTTTCTTATCAAAGCATGAGAAAAAAGAAAATGCTCTGTTGAAATTCTAAAGCACTGTAATGCAACACACACGGTTTGCCAATAGACAGAAAATACACTGAAGTCAAAATACTACTAAACGCTAATAAGGAAGGAGACTCAGGTTGACTTGGGTTTTAATAGAGTCAAGTTAAGATACAGAAGGGATGGAAAGCTAGATGGGATCAAGACTGCATTTTACCACAAGAGTATTTTCCAGTTTTCTTGCAGTGCTTATGTGAGCCTTTTCAACATGGAGAAAGGATTGTATTCTTAGAAATAGGGGAGGAGGGCTATCAGTCACTCAACATAACAGATTAGCTTGCATGCTTCAGGATGAAATATCACCCCAGCCATGGTACTTCAGAGAACCTTCTTATCTTCAGAGCTTTAAAGAAACTTTAGCCACTGCTGTTAGTTTAGCTTCTTTGGAGTTCATCATACATATTTTTCCTTACAGATGCAGTTATTGAAGACAGGACAGGACAATATTGAAGACAGGACAGGACAATAGCATCTCTTCATTCAAAAGCAAGCTGAACGCACTAAAAAATACCCTTTAATTAAGTTATACTTTGACCTGAACAAGATTATTTTTGAATTGACAATATCTTGTTCATTATTTTCATTGAGCTTACCTACCCACTCTTCTTTTGACAGATACATCAACCATTTACCCAGTAGATGATACCCCGAAGTACACTACATTTGATTCTGACAATTAAAAGTCCCAAACGACTGCCTTTCAAAGCACAGGCTGCATCCTGCAGGACTGAACAAAATACCACGACACTTGAACTGTGGATGACTGCACAGATGCAACAGAATCTACACATTCATGCACAAACAGGTCCCACACTTAAATTCATGGTGTCACACACCAATAAGATATTACTATGCACTGACGAGTCAAAAGGACTTCAAGTTTACATGCTCTAAGTACTGTGCTCTGCTACACAGCTGTACCAGATTTCAAAATTAAAAAATAAAAATAAAACATGGTGTTGAAATAATTTACAAGAGCCCAATCCAGAATTCATTCTGCTTCAATATGTATCGAGTTTGTTGAGGATTTACCAATGTGAAGAGCATTTAAAATAGTCTCCAGTCTGACTTATGAACATCTGTCTTCAAACTTTAGAACATGAGTAACAACTTATTTATTTGTAATTCCAGAAACAAAGGCAGTGACATATCTTTAGTTGTTAATATCAGGAAAAAACCTTCAAGTATGAGAACAGCCTGCTAACTGGATGTACTAAAACGTAGAGTCCAAACAACTTTGTTACTTCAGCAACTCTCAAGCTCTTCTGTTACAGCTGAAATACACCATTTCAATTCCTCAAATATCTCTGCTGAACTACAAACTTAAGAACCAGGAAAACAGCTGTTGAAAGAAGTGTTAACAGAATAGCTATAAATATATCCTATGCAGTAATAAAAAGCATAGAGGAAACTCTACCAAGTAGATATTCTATGCAACATGAATGAGGCTAAAAGGCACAGCTTAGAAGCAGAACACATCTACAGCGTGCTGAAGCCAATATTAGATGCTCAAATTTTCATGGTACCAGCTGGAAGCTACTACTGAAGTTTCCTAAAAACTTTTAGAAGCACAAATATGTTGGAGACTTAAATGAGTATTTCATGTAGCAGAACAACACCTGAGTCATCTCAACCAAGAATTCTTCCACATGAAGGAAAAAACACACTGATCTCTGGAACAGGACAGAACATTATCAAGCTGTTTATATTGAGGTCAAATCTAACAAGAAAAGCTGGGAAATGAGTGCTAAATAAGAAATACCAGAACTTGAGTGCCATGTTTCACAGCCTGCACTGAAGAATACACAACAAAAGATTCAACACGGTAGCGTACACAGCCTGCAGAAGCCACATTCAATCTAAATCTGAAACTCACTCATGACAGCATTACAGAGAACGGAACAAACAGCTGTAACATTCACCATTGCTGCAACTTTACCTAAAGCACTCTCACATTCCTACAAGATGTCACTGGGTGGGAGGAAAGCTCCGCAATTCTCATAAATTTACTATTCTCATCTTACTAAAACGTTGAGAAACTGAAATAATGTAACTTAGTTGTCACAGAAAATTACATTACCACTTATTTCAAGATACCAACTGCAGAACCTTAAGCCTACAGTAGTGACAAAATAAAAAGGAACAATACCTCATTTCCAATGAACGATTAAAAATGAGAAGCATAATGCTAAAACTAATGGCATAACTTTGTGAAGTATACTATTATATCCCAGTACAACACATCACTCAGAAAAGCAAGAATTGGATCCCAATACCACAAAGACCCTCATCAAATAACCCTCATGCAAATCTCTAAAAATATTTGGCTTTACTGATGGGAGAGAATTGCTTGCTTTTGCTTTGAACTTAAAAAAGCAAAGCTTGAGACTCAAGGGCTGAAGGCATACACACACTAGCTGGGATAAAAATCAAGATGTTAGCACTCCTTTTATTCAGGCAAAAAAGACTGCTACAGTTAAGTGTGCCAGGTCACAAAGAAGCCCTTTCTGTCGGGATAGGAAATAACTACAGTGGAAGAATCACTTTAAAACTATATCCTCAATACATAAGGAATAATAAAAATATTGTTTCTTACAAGTAAGAACATATGTTAATTTCCTTTTATTGATATAAGCCAATTACTATTTGCATTAGTGAAACTAAGACCAAAATAAGCATACTCCAGACGAACATGTTAGAGCATAGCTGCTTGTTAGTAGGAATTGTTTTTGTTTGCTTAAGTGGGACCAAGAAGGGAAGAAAATGTTTGGTTTTTAACAAAGCTTCTTTCAACATCTAGTTCAACATGTGACTCCACCTCAGCAACATCCAGTTAACAAAAGCAGGCTGAACAAAAAACTGGAGAAGAAGCAGCTTCCTCTTTCCTCACCAGGGAAATAAGCCATATTATTACCTGATAAACTTGGATACTGTAGATTTTACATCAGTCACACCGATGAAAGAATACAGCATTTTAGAAGAACAAAAGACACTCTTTTAAAGAGTCTCAAGATTTAAACAACTGAAGACTTCATGTTAAACATCTACCTTTGTCACTTAGATTTTGATCAAAACAATCTCTTACATAGCAGCCCAAAATTCAAGACTTAAGGCTTGAAAACTTTTAAGTATGAAAGCATAGTGAAGAAAGACATTTACAACACAAAGGAAACACTACTAGGAGATGCCCCACATCCACACACCGCCAATTGAGGAAACTTCTATCCCAGCGGATTCCCATTCAAAATAAGCATGCAGCTCTTCTTCCAAACTCTGATTTAAGGTACATGACTAATAACAAAACATTCATGATCTAGAAGCTCTGGTTTATGGGCTGTCAGATAGAAACAACTGCATTAATTCTAACAAGTATAAGGGATATGAGAATTCAACCAACTAAAGGAGTGCTTTTTTACTGAGGGAATTAGCTGATGTAGTCACCAAGCCAGACTCAATAATATTTGAAAAGTCATGGTAATCAGGTGAAATCTGGTGACTGGAGAAAAGGAAACATCACACACAGTTTTAAGAAGGGTATAAAGGATGACCTCTGTCAGTCTCACGTCTGTACCAGGAGAGATTATGGAACACATCCTCCTGAAAGCTATACTAAGGCACATGGGTGACAGGAAGGTAATATGAGAGAACCAGCATGGCTTCAGCAAGGGCAAATCTTGCTTCACTAACCTGATGGCCATTTATGATGGTGTCACTGCATCAACAGACAAAGGAAGAGCCACTGACATTATCTATCTGGACTTCAGTAAGGCCTTTGACACAGTACCACACAACATCCTTCTCTCCACATTGAAAAGATATAGATTTGATGGGTAGATTGTTCAACAGAGGACAAACTGGCTGCAAGATTGAGTCCAGAGAGTGGTGGTCAATGGCTCAGTGTTTGGATGGAGATCAGTGACAAGTGGTGTCCCCCTGGGGTCAGTGCTGGGACTGATACTCTTCAGTACCTCACTGCCAGTGTCACTGATGAAGATGAGTGCACACTCAGCTAGTTTGCTGATGACATCAAGTTGTAGGTGCAGTCGACATGCCCAAGGGACAAGATGCATCCAAAGAGACCTAGACAGGCTTTAGCAGTGGGTGCAAGTGAACCTCATGAGGTCCAACTAAGCTAAGTGCAAGGTCTCTCACCCAGGTTGAGACAACCCTCATACCAATACAAGCTGCAGGATGAAAGAACAGTGTGCACTCCTGCCAAAAAATACCCGACGGTACTCGTCGATGGCAAGCTGGACATGAGTCAGCAATCTGCCCTCACCAGGAAACCGAACCATATCCTGGGCTGCATCAAAAAAAGTGCCAGAAGAGGTGATCCTGCCCCTTAACTCTGCACTGGTGAGGCCTCACCTGGAGTACTGCGTCCAGATGTGGAATCCTCAGTACAGAAGAGGCACAGACTTGTTGGATTACGTCCAGAGGAGGGCCACAAAAATGATCAAAGGGATGGTACACTTCTCCTATAAGAACAGCCTGAGAGCTGGAGCTGTTCAGCCTGGAGAAGAGAAGGCTGTGAGGCAACCTGATAGAGGTGTTTCAATATCAAAAGGGGAGCTACAGGAAAGAGAGAGATAGACTCTTTAGCAGAGTCTGTGCTGACAGAACAAAGGGAAATGGCTTCAAGCTTAAAGAAGGTAAATTTAGATTGGATAAGGAAAAAGTCTTTTACAGTGAGAGTGGTGAGGCACTGGAACAGGCTGCCTAGAGATGTGGTGGATGCTCCATCCCTGGGAACTTTCAAGGTAAGATTGGATCAGCCCCTGGGCAACCTCACATAGCTATGCATGTCCCTGTTCATTGCAGGGCAGTTGAACAAAATGACCTTTAAAGTTCCCTTTCAACATTCTGATGGTTTGTTTAAATTCATGGAAAGGAACAAGTAACCCATTTTGGCCGTATGCCCTTAGGTATAATAGAAAAGCTTATTCGAAGCATTCAAACTGAATAAGTAAATCTACAGAATGGGATGACATTAAAATGGTGCCAGCTTTGTAAAAACACTTAAAGAGATGAGAGAAAGCAAGTCTTCCATCCCCAAGTGACAAAAAACCGTGGAATAAATTAAAACAATTGTATTTGTAATACCTTGGCCTTGCCACACTTTTGACGGTATTACTAAAACTTTGTCACATGCAGCAGATGGTTGCATCCATTTCCAAACCAAGAACTCAGCACCACCTATTCTTCGAGTCTCTGTGCGAACTCTAGATTCATTTGCCGCTAGGAAGTCAACTGCTCTACTCCAGACTTTCCTCATTTTCCTCCTTGAAAAAAAAAAAAAGAATTACAATGTTAGCATTATAATAACCTGCACAGATGACATCAATCATAGGAGCAACTCATGTTCATGTTTTTTTTTCCCCTACCTTTATTGATAAAAATCTCCAAGAATATTATTCTATGTAATCTACTGCTATTTAATTAGTGACTCAACCGAGTTGTAATTACTGAGTCATATGCTTTATTCCATGTAACAAAATGAAGTATATACAGTGGGTACATACCTGTCCTGAGCTGGTATTAGAGAATCATGCACATGCAAAATAGGCATATAAGGCTGCAAGTCTTTATTTTCAGAACATGCCTCACTGTGACTTCTTAGAACATCTAGAACACCATAAAAAAAACAAATAGGTAAACATCTCGTACATATAAACATGAGGAAAAATATCAATTCTGGCTATGAACAGCTACTCTGAAATCCCTTTCCAATTCCAGTAATTTAAAGAAGTTCTGAGGTTTTGGAGTTTTGAGCACTTTTCATCCTAATCTGGCTAAAAGGCAAATCAAGAAAACTAATTGTGTGCACAGTACCTCCAAGTACCCCAAAGGACTCTGGAATAAGGAAGAAAGAGTTCTCACTTGACTGCTACTTTTAATTGTTAGCAAAGATGGCCACTTTTGGAAATAAAAGCGTTTTCCTCCTACAACATCTGACTAACAAACATAAAAGTATGTTGAAGTAGAAAGGCAGAATTGCAGAAGGTGAACATGCATTCTGTTTTGGTAACACAATTTTGCTCGAATCAACTAATTAAAAGGTTGTTTTTTTCTATTATAAAACAATAAGGGTAGAAATGGTAGCTAACATTTAGGCGTTTTGGATAAAGACAGCTGAAAAACAAAGATGCAGAAAGCAATATCACCATATATCTAGTAAATTAATATCATATTTATACTGTTTACCGATGTAGATAAAATATTACCTTGTCAATATAAATTCATTATAGCCATGATGATGCACTACATAAATTTAAAGCTCCTTAACAAAAACTTAAAGTTTAAAGTACAATTAAAAAAAAAATACAAGCAAAAAAACCCAAACCACAAAGCAGGCCTTTTTCAGAAAACTGTAACAGCATGACAATAACTGAACAGATAGAAAACATAATTGACTGAACTAAGGCCAGTAGTTTGAAAGCTTGTGCATAGCTTTACATATATATCAGATATGAGATTCAAGAAAACATACCTATGATTTTTACGACCATATCATACATCTGCCTCGTTTCCTCTTCTTCTTTTGCCCAACGATATTTCATATAGTGCAAGACTCCCCAAACAATTGCTACACCTGCATCAAGATGTTTAAATACTCTTTAAACAGCATTAGAAAATTGGTTATTTAACATTGCACATTCTATTTAAGAAGTTGCTTGAATGACCTAACATTTTATATTCACATTGCAAAGCTAGTGAAATACCCTGTACTTGCTGTCAATATTTTTATATTTTATTAACGTAGCAACATTAACTCTTCAGCTTTGAGGAGTACATGCTTTTAAGAAAGTGTTTTATTGTCTCAATAATGGCCTGGTACTCAATTGCCACTATTGGCATTTCAAATATAACTCATTTGTGAGGAAAAACAGTAAAAGAATTATCTTGGAAAAAACTGAAATCATCATAAAAGTTAAATGCACAATCCAGAACATGTTACAGTGTTAAAATGCACAATATTCACTAATTTAAGGATAAGTCACACAGGTGAAAACTAATCAACTTGAAAGCAACAGGTTAGTATTTCTTGTCGTGATGTACACTGTACAGCATGTTCTTTTGATATCACCTTCTAGATGCCAAAAAAGACAACCTAGTTAAGAAGGCCAACCATGTAAGCAGAGAACAAAAGTCTTATTTTATCCATCTCAGACTGAGGGCACCACTACACCCATGGTCTCTTAACACGAAGAACAACACACATACAGACTGTAGTCATGAAGTTGGCCTTCAGGCACCAGTGATCACAAAGCAATGTTAACTGATAGAAAAAGACTGAGGGACACCATCACTTTAAGTCAAAATGAGTATCAATGACAACATATCCAACTTTTACGTGATGGTTGATTTTTGAAAAGGTGCTTCATATTAATCTCAAATATAGCTGAGTTGTAACACTAAGCAATTTGTTCAGCATGACTGACGAAACCTCTTGTTGACCCGTACACTGAGTTCTGCCTCCATTTTCCAATCCAACCCTCATATTCACTATTATCAGAAAGACAGCCATCTGGGACAGCTTGCCTTGTAGTTTCTCAGAAGGCTAGTGAAGGACATTAAAAAAACACTATGAAATTGTTAAGACTCAATGATATGATTCTATGATAAATGACCTCCTGAATGTTTAACACGTGCATGAGATGAGTCGTATGTCTGCAGTTCTTTCCATGTGCCTGGTTAAAAATACTGAAATGTCTACAACTCAGTCGGTCCTTCTTATTCTTCACCACTTTCAGTATGGATAAGAATTACATCAACTTGAGAGTACATGAAACTTAACAAGAAAAGTATCAGAGATTAAATATCATAGAAAAGGTATCCAGTTTTGCAGTAACACAGACTTACAAGTAAGAATGTTTGATAACAACCAGGTAATTAAACTTCTAGAAACGGAAATGTAAGTACAGAAAAAGTGATTTTCCTCAAGCTCCTAGAATAACAGTGAAATAGTCTCAAAATAAAGGCCAACATGTCTTTTTTCTCAAATACATCCAAATTTGCTTTTTTTTTTTTTTTTGGAAACACACAAAGCATTGCTTTGTCAGGGAAAAAGCCAATGTTTGCAGAGAAGGGATCAGTTTAGCTGACTACAGCAACAGACGATAGCAAATAATGCAAAAACACATGCGTGGTTCAAAAGTGTAAAGCAAACTATGTTGTAACCAGGGTACTGACTGAAATTCTAGGTTGTATGGCTGAATAAACACTTAGTAAGAGAGCTGCTTTCTTGTTTTTCTGTAAGTACATAGGGAAAAGTTTTAATTAAAAAAACATTTTTGATAACTTACCTAAAAGCGGTATTGATAATCTATGAGTTACACTAATAAACGCACGGCGAAAACGACACCTGAAAGACATCTTTGGACTAGTGGATTCCAGGTACTTCACGTCCGTCACATTAGTGACATCCACATCATTAGGATCACTGCCAAGACACCTATTAAAACATATAACACATTTACAAAAAAGAATACATTCCATCAGAACACACTGCTATGAAATAAAGCTCACTTACTTTATGCCAACATCTTCCCCACTATTCAATATCCATTGTAGTGCTGTATTAAATACACTTTCATATTCTGGATCTATATTCTGTCAAAAGACAAATATGAATGAGAAACTTTCTAAATAACCAGAAAGTTACCATGCCACAGTAAAATACAAACATTCTGCAAAGATTAGGCAATTTGCAGCAGCAAAATTAAATGATTTTGATCTTGAATTTTCAGGTTTTGCACAGCTTCTCATGTTGGCAAAGTGATTTCGTACACAGTGTGAGCAGCTACAGGACTTCCTCAAACAAAGAACTGCACAAAAAGTCAAGCCACCATCACCCTTTATTAACAATTCTGACCTACGTGGTAAAAATAAATTCAACCACTAGGCGGTGCTCATTGAAAATCTATTTTAGAAATAAAACTATAATCCAGCTGAAAGTTGGTCCTATAAAAAACAGCTGAGGTATTTTTTGTTTTGTTTTTTTTAAGTCATTTTCCTCAAGCATCTTAGTTGATATTCTGCAAATAATCTTGTTTGTAGATCAGGAACAATGTAAGTATGTAAATTCCCATGTAGTTAAGTTAGTTGATATGGGTTACTGTAGGAGGATATATACTGCAATCTGAGCAAAGACAAGTCTCCCTAGTTCACATTACATGTCCTTTTTCAGAAGAAGAAAAACAAAACAATGGAAGTCAATACTCTATTTGAACTGAAACTGTCCAAAACAATTTTTATCTCCACCTTTTCTTTGGGTCTTACATCAAAAGAAAAAGTCCCTAAGGAAAAAAAGAGGAACAGCAGCTATTTTCACTTTCAGAATAAAAAAAGTTTACCACCAAACACTGAATTTCAAAGGAGTCACATCTACAGTCACAAAATGAGGCAATGTAGAATTAAATAAGGTTTTGTACTGACAGATTTTCATACAGACTTTGAGCTTAAAGCTAGAACAGTTGTTATAATAACCATAATTCCTTTGATATAATAGATGATAAATGGACTAGCATTTCTATCATCAGTTCTTTTCCCCTGTTGCATTTTCTATTTGCCATTCCCCTCCCCCAGAATCTCCCTACCTCCTCAAATAAAAATCATAAGCAGCATGCATTAAAGATGTTAATTTTAAACATTTAATAAAAAAAAAACATCTAAACAAATTTCCAACTAACATTCGATTCTAATTCAAATATTTGTCACTACATTAAAATGAAATCACATTAAAACAAAAATAAGACCTTAAATTTTTTGCTTACAGAGATCTCAAGTAAAAACCAATGAATAATACCAGAATTACTTACTTTCAAATATGCAGCTGCCTCCTGGACGGTAAGATTTCTTTGAACAGAGCTGCCACATTCATGTTTCCCTGGTAAAATGAAATTTGTTTATTTTGATCATACGTATTACTAATCGTATAAAATAAAATCACCAAAACACAATCGTATGGTTAATGTAATCTACACAAGCAGGAGTAACCAAATAATTCTCTTTAAAAAAAAATCAGGATGAAATATAAGAAAAGTCTGTCACAGCTAATAGTATGTACAAATAACATCAATACAACTTCGTGTGATGATCAGAAAACATACTTCAATATTTATACTGAAATTGGAAAACAAGGTAGTATAAAGATCAATCAGAAGAACATTACCATGAAAGAGCTGCTATACCCTGACTCAACATCTTCCAAATAATTTCATTCATTTACTCTGAAACAGGTGTAAGCTTTTATAGAGAGCATACTAGTTCTAGTTCTATCATATCCACAGCAGTACTTCAGGCACTATGAGGTTACCACATTATAGCTTGATCCAAGTTACTGCAGCACTTCCTTCCCTTCCTGCAGGCAATCTGCCCCTAAACCACTGGTTTTACCATCTTCCTAATTCTTTCAGAAATAATGCAGAAGCAGCCAGGAAATAAGGCACAGTCAGTTCACTGCCACGTACCATCTTCTTTCTCATTTACTTCTACTAAACTGAAAGAACTCAATTTATGCTAAAATAGATTTAGTGACAGTCATGCTAACACAAAGTCTCATGCAAAAGCAAAACATCCAACATCAGTTCTATCCACCGCTAAGCTATAATTCCTGAAGAACTAGAAGAATAACAAATCATTTCTCTCTTGATCCTTCTAAAAAAAAAAATCAAAATTAAAAAAAACCACCACATTGGTACTTGTATCTGCACCAAAACAATAAAAAAAGGAAGAACAAATCCAGGCTATCACTAACTCAAGGTGAGCCTTACCCTCCTGCAACCATACCCATTAATAATTCCCAAAGCAATAGCAAAGCTTGGGAAGTTTATATTTTATATACATGTGAGATTCCTAAACTTCTGTTTACAGTCTCACCAATTATTTCAAGATGAAACTACTCCATTCTGGGCTACCTTTTAAAGGTAGCAAATGCTAATATTGGCTATCTAGATTCAGGGCAAAGTTAGCAAACATTACCACAAGTTATGGGAAATATTTTCATGCCTTGCTCACAGGAGGGAATTCCAAAGAAATAAATGTTTTTATGAAGCACAAGTCCTTTGCAGACTGTTTCGTTTAATATACTTCTGATATGAAAGATAGTAGTCTACAAGTTGCTTCACTTGATAATTAGCACACATCTTAGATTGAGTCAAAGCTCACTAGGTCTGATACGATAGCAAAACTAAACAGGTCACTAGTGAAGAACAGTAGCATTCTTGCCAAAAAAGAAGTCAGCACCAGAACTGGAGCTGTAAATTATTCTAGCTTATATTCTAGGCAGACATTCTTTTTGTTCTGCATAAACTCTACTACCTGCAATGCAGATTTACAGGCATCAGTGATTTCATGTTTCAAGAGTGGAAGACTTGGGGGAACTATGTATCTTATTCATAGTTTCAAGCACAAGCATATTGTTTAAAACTTAGAATTTTTAGTCAAAAAAAATCCCAAACATACCTTGCTAGAAGCTCTACCTACAATCTCAGCCAGGTATTAGATTACATAGCATTAACACGGCTACAAATACTACACGCAAAAAAAACCTGAATGAATAAGACCTAAAGTTTTGAAGCATGTCAGTCACCGTTTGAACAGAACAGCTAAGGGAGCAAAGGGATGAAACTCTTCTGCTCAGTGGCTTGGGGGTTTGTTTTTGCTTTAAATAATAAGAAATAGTAAAAGGATGCAGTTAGCAAACAGAAAAAACAAACAGCACCACAAAACAATCAGATGTCAAGACAGTGAAAAAGGCATTCCTAAAACAAGCCAGAGGATTCGTTTTAGACTTTTACTCTTAGAAGAGCACAGCACTACAACTTACATGAGGACAAAAGCTCCTTTAGAAGCAGACTTCTAGCAGTTGTAAAATAATCTTATTTGCCTCCTTCCAGGAATGACATTTGCACAGTATGCAGCCAACATGTCTCATTTTTAAAAAGCCAGCAGACACTTTCTTCACTGCACTTTTCCTGACAATTTTTTCCTAACTGAGCAAATTTACCTCTTAAAAATGCTTTTGATGCTCAAGCACTGACAATATTTAAGGCCCACCAGTACAAATTACTCTCATGCAATCTCAGAAGAGAATAAATTAAAATCAATTCCATCTTGCCTCCCACTCCTGAAATCAGTAAGCTAATCACTCATGTAGTTTCAGCCCAGTGCAAAAAGCTGCTAGAACTGCTATTCATTCCTACTCATCTGTTGCTGAGAATCAGAAAGCTTGCAGAAAGTTGGAAAATTCGCAAGTCAGGTAGATGCCCATGCTACTGCAAGCAGCAAGATATTCCTATGTGCCACTTCAGCCACTCTTTTAGCTAGTCGTTCTGCAAATGAAGGCTTACATTGAGTTACTTTGGTGTAATTATTAACCACTTGGCTTGGAAACTCAGTCCGATGCTCAGAGAAGTGAGTAATCAAAGAAAAGTAAGAGCAGAACAAACGTGAGAGCAAGAACAGATGACTGATCTCCCATAGGCAAATTTAATTGTCTAACAATGTGGAAAACCAGAAATTGTTATATGGGTTTTAAATCAGGCTAAAAAAGAAAAATCAAATATCTGAAGAACTAAAGGCTAAGGAGTGTGACAGAACAAGAGCTGCCAGATACAGTAGCTAACACTTTAAATTAATGTTAAGATTTTTTGCCAGGCCTTTCTGCCAGCCCTGGATTTACCAGCAAATCTCATTCCATAGGGAAGTACAATTCACCTCACATCTCAAGGACCTGAATGGTTTCCTTCTGCACTAAAGGACAGTACAAGTCTCACAGACCCCTCTGTGGAGAATGCCAAGCCAAAGATGCTTCTTACTAAGTAAAAATCCTTTGTATACAAGGAAACACAGGAGATACTTCTTTGGAGGATGGTGATTAGGCTTGTTCATTTTATAAACCTAAGAACCTACTGAAGACTCTTCACAAAAGACAAACATCCAGTAATTAATACATACATGCCAGAAGGAAGCCTAATTTAAATAAAATAGATTTGGTTTTAGAATAAAGTATTAGGCACTGGACTATACAGTATCTACAAACCTTGCTGCATTTAACAAAGGCAGAATGAAAAGACACAGACAAGAATATAAAATTCAACCCAGAACTGAATGAATAGATTCTGCTTTTCCCTCTGGTTTCTTCTGAGGTAGGCATTACTCACCACAGATTTAGTAGACTAATAATTCTGAGAACAGTGATGCATTAAAGGCAATCCATTTTTACAGAGGATAATTAAATTATTTTACATAATATCAGAGCACCACAGAATAGAATAGGCATCTACAATTGGAACATAGTATACTAAGTCAAATAAAAATAATGAAGCATTACAGTGACTCTTTGTTATTTAAAAAAAACTTTCAATGCGTCATCTTTTATATTTAAAGCCCCATCATTTGCTCTCCAATTAAAGTTGACAAAGCAGAAAACACTAGCTCAATAAAAACACAAGCAGCTTAATTAAACAGAAGGCTAGAAACTGAATTCTGAAGTGATCATCTCCACTGCAATTAGAACACTGAATAAAGCTTAAGACGACACTAGTGCAAGTTTCCATCTTGCCTTTTTAATATTAACAGTAATAACATGAACAAATGATTCAAAGCATGAAATGAGAGAAACTTTTCCAAGTATGTGACAGGCTTGAAGAGAATCATTTTTACTATAACTATCTACCATTACTTGTCTCTTTTGAGATGCTGCATTATGTATAAGATTAATGCTCTTAAACCCTTCATCTCTCAAGCAACCTCCTGTGTCATACAACTTTTAAATAGTTTCCAGCTGTTGTGCCAGGCTGACATCACTGTAGGACTGAAAAAGTGGATGGCAGACCTCTAACTCTCATACCCTGAAGACAGTTGGCACTGAGGATAACTTCTGAGTATCAATGAAATAAGTCATTCTTCAGACTGTATGCAAGCTATTCTGCTGAGCAACAAGGCAATCTTGCAATATGGTTTCAATTTGAGGACCATCCAATCAGAAAATACAGTTATATTTTTCGAAAGTAAGCACTGAAGATTCTCCTGGCCAGAAACAGACTAACAGAGACTAACATATCCTTGAGATCTAAGGAAGAAAGCAGCAGGTCATCTTGGAGCATATATTTTCTTCTTGTAAGGAAGACTGCTAAATGTATTCTTTTAAGTGTTCATCACATATGAAAACTGCAATTCATGAAGAAAATTCATGTTCCTTCACAGATGCAGAAATGAAGCACCCAGCATTTTTATCCATGCAAATAAATCATCTACCATATAGCCACTGGAGGGCCAGATAACACTGAGGAAAGGGCAAGCTGTTATGCTATTTCTCTTCCTCTTTTGAAGAAAGAATATAATTCATTACTTCCATTTCACACCACTCAGCACTTTGCTGCACACAGCTCTAGATCTCAAAAGACACTCCTGCACAGCACAGCTTAGCTACATTGCATGAAAGAAATCTTTCTGTCTCAATGATTGATAGTGCAGAATTATCCTCTATCATCTATTAAGCATGAAATAGTCTGAAACGGATAAAAATATCGAGACATAATTGAACTAAATTCAACACTACAAAACATTCACAGTCAGAATACAATAAATTTAAAACTAAGAAAAAAAGTACTATCTTGAACACATTCAGGTTAAACATTCTTTCACTAGCTTGGGTTAAAGCATACAAGGAAAAATTTTGTAGGGTTTGTCCAAACATTACTTTTATTCACTGTAAATAATGTAAATATTCTGAAAACAAGATCTTCTGCAGGAAGATCACTCTTGCAATTTAAAGGTATTATAGAGCTGCTCAGATTTCTCAACGTTTCCTATATATTCCCGGACATAAACTGTCAGTCTCACAGCTGTTGCCACATTTTCACCCTTTGAGAAACACCTGCATTATTTGGCAATAGTGAGTCGGTATACAGAGAAAAGAAATACACCGAGAAGCCTTCTCAGTGGTACTTGCTGTTGCAAAACAAATAGTAGTCACAAAGAACAGTTAAAAGAAAAAACTGAACCACTGCCTTGTAAAATACTAAACAAATAAGCAAGGATGTTGAACAAATGGCTTAGTAGTCACAGAAGTTTCTGCTGTAAATCATACGAGATGTCAAAGTTATACAATAGTCTTAATTCTACCACTCCCAATTATGATGTGTAAATATCTATACAATTTAAAGCTGTCTTAATTGTGAAAGCACAGTGATTTTATTTTGAATATTCAGTAATTCTAAACATCACCTCTTACACAATACTATACATACTAATGAAAAGTTCTATGTAATTAGTTTAAAGTTAGACTAATTTGTCTAACAAGGCCATCTTGTTTAACCACTAAACGTTTTTGCTTGTGAAATAAAGTTGCAAACATTTTTCCACTAGAGTGAAATAACCACCTTTGCCACACCACATACAGCATATTTAAACCTTGTAATAAAATCAGATTAATAAAGCATTACAACATTAGATCAAAAATCTTGCGATCAAAATATTCAGTCTTCCATGTTAACTCAAAAAAGTTGCAGTGAAAGATGCTACACTGGTGGAAAAGGCAGTGTACACGATCTAGAAACAGGACTTCTAGTTTCCCAAAGCAGAGCTCTAAAGATAATCAGGGCCTCAGAATACACCAGTTGCTGCAAATAACTATCTGAGCACACACATCTCAGCAGCTGTTACAATAATACTTAGTCACAATATTTTTTAAAGTGTTACCTGCTACTTGTGCCAATTTATCATGAAGTGCATATAAGCTGTTCATCATGAGACTTATTTCATCTTCCTAGAATTACAAAAAAAAACATTGCATTAATATTAAAATATTACTAGCATGACATTTTCTTACACTTAATCCAAAACTTTTATACATCATCAGAAGAAAGAATTTTGTTTTAAACACATGTATAGGTAGAAGACAATAACGTTTCACAGATCAACAATAACTTAGAGATTTTGAAAAAAATATTCACAATACTAATTTTTCAGATCTTGACTGAAACTGAACTAGATTACTGCCTGGAATCTGTTTGCTCAGTCAATTAAAACAGACAGCTCAGAAGGTTATTTTAATACTGTTGAGAGAAAAGTGCAATGACCTACTGCAGGAAACCTCCTTTAGCAGGGAGTTGGACTAGACAATCTCCAGAGTCCCTTCCAAACTCTACAGTTCTGTGACCCAAAAGAAGCCAGGTGGGTTTTTTTTTTGAAAGCTACTATGTAAAAATAAAAGTGAGCTTTACTCTTAAGAGTGGGTGGTGATACCACACACGGACAATACTGGAGTATCATATGGCCATATTCCCCATGTAAGACACAGACAACAAAAATCTGATTTTGCTACTTCCAAACTACTGTAATTTTTTTAGAAAAGCTACAGTTTACATCATCTTTTTAGGGCTTCCTGAATAGGCTACCAGTATAAGGCCTATTTACCAACATATAAACATGAACATCATAGAACTGTTACTTTATGACAGATTTGAACTTCTTTACCAAGATAGTGAGCAATTTCATTGAGATCTTTTATCTTGGAATGAGTTACTCAAAATATGAGGACAAGGAACAAGTTAATTATAAACACTTGAGTACCCTGAAGGCCACTGAAAAAAGTTGTGGGTTGCTTTTTTGAAGCTGGCTCTGATTCCCAGACAGAGCAAAATGGCTGAGATAAGACAAGAACCTTTATTCAGAAAATGCGCAAAAGAATGTTTTCCAGTCTGTTCATCTTCTGGTTTTACTTGCATTGAAAAAAAAGTACGTATTTTTAGTATAATTCCCTGCTGCATGAGTGCAGTCTGACAACATTTTAAAGACTGAATAGCTCCAATTATTTTCCACAAGAAAACTGCTACCAAAAGGGAGAATATTTTTCATTGATCAAAAATTTGACAGATTAATTCCCCACAGACAACAGTAGAAACTGCCTCTTGTATTCTGGTTCTACAAATGCACCAGAGTATTACAGTTGATACTACCCAGGAAGTTAACCAACCTCATTAACCCATTTCCTGAATGGAAAATATCAGCCCTTCAACACAAACAGTAGTGCTCTAAGTTCAGCTTATTTATTTGCCTGTCGGTACCTCAGAACCTACTTCACAAAATTTAATTTGTTCAGAAGATTCAGTAAAAGATTCTTCACAAAAACAAGCCAGAGCTATTCAATGAAAATATGCAACAACTCAATTGCAGAGCTCAACACTAGATCCCCCCAAAATTATCTTGTGAAACTTTCACATACATGCCAATGAAAAGCAGATCCCTGTTTGCAGGCCAGCCAGAAAGACTGAAGGCCCCCAGAGAGAAGCACTAAAACGCAAGCTGCAGATCTGAGACTAACCCAGATACCTTCCAGGATGACATCTCAAAATAGGCTATCCTGATATTCCAGTTGAGAGAGTGAATAGGGCAACTAGCAATAGCACTGATTCAAAGTGAAAGAGACAAATTTTCAAATCCATTTTCTGAAGGCAACTAACCCTTGGCTCTTCTGTAGTACTACGTAAGACCATAAAGTCTCACGACAATCATCTCTTGTCAGTTGTCCTTTCACAGTTGAGAACCGAATGGTAACAGTAAAGGAAAACTGATCAATTTAGAAGAAAGAAAATCTTAGAATATTTTTTCCTCATATGTATACCACACAAATTAGGTAATATCTTCTCAGTATATAAAGCAACAAACATGAGATAGCCAAGTCCTGTAATCCTATTTATACTGCCCAAAATGAAAAACAAAAACTTAAAATATTCAAGGAGCAAGAAATGGACTAAATTCATATGAAACATTCAGAAACCACACCATTCTGATAAGATCATTATGGTTTTTACAGAACCATGTGACAGAGTGAAATCTCAACATTAAATGTTTTTACTTACTTCTATGTCTTGTAGTTCTCCACTGAAGGGATTCTTGACTATCAAAAAAAAAAGAAAAAATAATTCATTCTATAGTTTGAAAATAGTTAAAAAAAAAGTACATCATCACTCAGATTTTATACCAGTGCTGTATTGTTTAAATAAAAACAAACAAGTCCATAATGTGAGAAATAACAATTAGGCAGCTATTAGCATTTGACATAAGCTCCACATTTTACATCATGCTACAGCAGCATTTAGGTTAAACCAGAATCCTGTTTATCTGCATATTTCACAGTTGTTCGCATGCAAAGAAAAATGTGCTTGTCATTTGCCAAACACTTGCTTTAATGACTCAACCACATTAAAATCATAATTTGAAGGCTTTACATACTTCAGATATCTATTTTAAAAGTATAACTACTTTTTTTACTATTATTAAGCCATAATCCATATAACAGAGCTGTACAACTACACGGTACTTAATGTATTGATGGAAGTAAGAGACGACACATTGAGGGCTTAGGCGAGGAGTGTAATGAGCCTAAGTGACCAATCTATTCCAAACAGAACAGTTTGCACAGCCCCCCAAAGCATATGCTTATCTATTATATTCCTCTTGGCTACAAAACAATAAATTCCTCAAGCAAGAGAAACTGAAGCTAGACACATCATTTACACTCAAAAATGAATGCCTGGTAACTGAAAAACTACCAAGGCAGGAAGCAAACACCATTAAAGCACAGTATCTTGCCTCTCTAAGCTACGAACTCAGTCACCCACAGACTAAGCTTATACAGCAGTGAGCAGTTTTGCGTCCTACTCAAATGGGAAATAAAATTTCTACTGGCCTCAGTTCACCAAGCACAAACACAATCAGGATAAAGAAAACATCTTGGGAAACCTGTCACAATCTCAAAGGTCTGGGTTAAGTGCCACCATACTGATGCAGAAAGCGCACCAAAAATGGGCGTGCACATGGGACACACTGCTTAATGTATTTCTACAGTTCAACCTTCTAACTGAAGCACAGTAAAATACACGCGCTGTCTTAACTGAAGTCCAAAATAACTAACTCCATTTACACAGTATGGTTAGCCCCCACTCCCAAGGCATCACAGCTGTTTCCACTGCATTCCTCGTTGCACCTCAAGGCACCCAACAACAGTCTGATACAACCCTGACCCACACAAAGCCCTCCAACACAAAGTTCTTCACAATGCATCACCAGCTACCTCCTGACAGCCAGCTGACTGACAGCATCCTAAAACATAACCAAGATGACTAAGCTGATCGATTAGTTCAGTCACAAACGGGAAAAACAAAAGAAATAAAGGTAGAGACACCAGATTTCTTTAAATTTGAAGCAGGATTTCTCATGTAGGGGGAATGGAAGGTACAAAGGAATTAAGTACCAACTCATAAAACAGCGGTTCCCTGACCTTTGCCGTATGTAATGTTATTTGGATACGTAACTGAACAAGTCATAGTTTCTGTAAAACAATGCAACTTACATTACCTGCAAAAATTTCCACAGCACTTCTGCCAGGAGACAGATGTTGACCCACTTCACCTTCATTTTGAAAAACAAGCAGAAGTGAGAATGATTACGGATTTATTACTCCTATATGTAGCGGCAATAAGGAACAATTAGAGCCAACAAACCATGTGAGGCAACAAAAACATTTTCTGAGTAAAGAAAAGAGCCTGACCCTTTGAAACTCTGCAAACAAGAGGCTGCTCTTGTGCCTAGGCTCAGAAGCGTGTCACTTGCCCAAAGCAACAAACAAGTTCACTTCCTCTGACACTGCAAAAGGAGAGAAAAAAAACCAGCCCAACATAGGGTCTGGCTTTTATAGACCTAAACACTTAATTTGGATATCAGATTAATAAATGCTAACAGAAGCAGAGGATGTTCAAATCAAGCCTCGTAGTGCTTCGACTTCAATCCTTAAATGCAAATTCTCCAAGATTGACTACCGAGTTATCAAGCTACCAACTTTACAAAGCTTCTATGTATTTCATTCATTAACTCTGTAGAATGTTTCCAGCACGCTCAATTTTTAATCTCAATAGCCTGAAATGGAATTAGAGACAGTCAGGACTCTAAATGACCACCACCATCTCAATTTGTTACTCACCCAGATTGGGCTTTTCCCAAAGTCAACCTTATTGTGCATATATGAAAACTTGACTGTATGGTTTTAGATGCAGGGGAGACCCACAAGACAGAACAGCATGTAGATTTCCATATATCTGACAGACATGTTTCAGAACTGATGAAAGCCTTGGAACAAATACAAATACAGTACAAGCACAGCTGCAAAAAAGCAAAATGAAAGCTGTAGTTCCATGTACTGCAACTAAGCAAAGGTAGTGGTGTTCCTGTGTTCACAGTGAGATTGGGGAGGTTGTGAAGTCAGTCTCACAGGTGAACAACTTCATATTTGGGTAAATTGAAAAACTGCCTTTATGAAGCATCCAGATGAGATATGTCAATGCTTCAATGCTTGCCTCTCTTTCACAAAGACAGTATGATAAAAAAAGACTTTACTTCAAAATGATTGAATCAATCCCTTTACCTCATTGCAACTCATACAGTAGGATTTCTTAAATTTATGATTTTATGGGCAGTTAACTATTAAAAGAGACATTCCATGTAAGATGTTAACATAGCTTAGAATGCCCAATGCCTTAAGAGGCAAGTATGCAACATGCTACTGCAGCAACTTATCACCTATGTGTGCAACTGATAGCTGTTAATAAACCTAGATCTACTTACCACTTAAACTTGATTAACCAGAATCAATAAGGCCCCTCTTTAATTACTTTTATTTTTTCCAGTTCTGTCCACAATCAAAACTCTTAACAAACCATCTCACTTGCCACAGCCTCCAGTGCAAGGTTTTGATCAACTGCCCCAGCTCATCTCTATTGCTTCACTGTATTACATCCACATTATCGGTTCAAAAAAATTTTTTTCCACAGTTCTTAAAATACACATTTATCTTAACCAGTAACAAGTCCTTGTTCTACCAAAACAAGTATTAATAACTAATTGCTAATAGAAAACTTTCCTATGTGAACATACACTTCCAAGGCTTCTCAAAAAGGGTTCAGTATCTCAGCCATACAGCACTGACTAAGAGACTTCAAAGTGGCTTATCTATCAAGCTCAGTTTTTTATAAGCTTCAAAGAGCTACATCTCCAAAACAGATGAACTAGCTGAGTGTTCTGCATGGAGGTTTGCTATCCTGGAAGAAGAGCTTTTTTTCCTAGCAAGGCTTTCCCTTGTCTGATAAGAAGATTTTTTAACCTGAGTCAGAAGAAAATAAGAAAGTATTTCTTTCTTATTAAGATATTCGAACAGGAAGGGATATTCCATTTAAATTGCTTCTTCAAAATGGAATCTTATTTAAATGCCAGTCAATCAAAAACAAGACAATAAGATTACTGAAAAGCCTATGAAATTAATATAAGCAGCACATAAATATTTTTCAGATTAACTGAATACCAATAATCTTTAGAAGGATCTTTCATATGTATCTTAGTTGGGTCAAGCTGTAAATGACTACTTACAGTGGCAGAACTGCTCAGGCTCAAAGAACAAAAAAATCACCACTCTAAGGGTCACAGTTCCAAAGCATTCCAGCCAAAGCCGTCAGCACAAACACACTAAGTATCACAGAGATACTCAATTTTAAGAATACAAATGCGGTCAGTGTCAACATACAAGGTTAATTTCCAAGGGAATACAGCAGCTGTCATCTTAAAAGCAACAATAAAACCACTCACTGGCCCCAGTTTCCTGCCTAATACATTGGTAACAATTGCAGACAGTGTTTACAAAAGAATCCTTCAGTTTTTCCACAAGGACAAACAGAGAGCACAAAGTGGGATTTCTCCTCTTTGTCAATGCATGCTTTAGCAGACACGAAGCCGTAGCCTAGCTGCAGACATTTGTGAATGCAAAAGTCAGCTCTTACAGAGCCCCAATAGGCCAAGTTCCAAAGACTGACACAGCTTCACCTAGCAAGAAGATATGCACAAACATCAAAAGCAAGTGTATTATTATTTTTTTTTAAGATAGATATGTATCACTAATGCAGTACAGAACTAAGTGCTATGTTTATTTTCTGGTCACTAAAGTTGAATGAAAAAAAAAATAGTCAATCCTTCCACAACAGGCATCTAGAGCTGCAGTACCCTGTCCTGAACTGCATTACCATTCTTGCTGTCACAGCATTCAACACTTCAACATGTGATATCAAAACTGACACATGAAGAAACAGTCACAGCGGGACAAACTAAGGGCTCGTGAGCAATGTCAAGAAGGTTTTATTCTTCTGTTCTTAAGCGGACAGAGAAATCAAGAGATCAAAAGCAAAAGCAATCATCTGAACATAGGAATATTGGTACTTCAACAGAATATTCCCCCAGCCATCAACAAATTTTCACCTCAAATCTTCTGACTCAGAAGTTTTCTTTTCCTATATGCACCAGTACCAGTGTACTTTTCCCCACCAATTTGTCTTTCATTAACACCAAGCTTCAGCAATATAAGGGACAGAGTTTCACAAGTTAACGTGAATACATGAAAAACCATTTGCTTTGCTTTTTCTGAGCCCGCCACTTGCCAACTTGAGAAATTCCTCCTCATATTACAGGAAGCAGTGAGTAATCAGACTCCATTCAGCTCCTCCATAATACTCACCCCCTTACTTCATTCCCCAGTCCTTACTCTGCCACATTGATGAGTACTACCCCCTCCTTGCCATGACACCCATGTGCCTTCAATCACAGTACAATTCTATGACTCTTTTTTCAGCTTTGCTTTTCTACTTTATCTTTTCCACTGTTGGGAAACAGGTAGACGCTACTCAAAAATAAAGGAGCACTATGGATGTTCTCAAATATATCTTCTCAAGTACACTTTGTGCTCAGTTCCCTTCCTCCAGACTCCTACCATTGTGTTTGCTTCTTGACCACTACTGAAAATCAAGTTATCATTTTTGACAGAATCATTGTAATCTCATAATTTACTCCTGAAAGAACAATGATTTTATAAACCAAAAGCAACTTTTCAATGCAACTTTAAAGAGCTGTAAAGTCACATTTGCAGAAACAAGAATGAAACCCATCAATATTACTTCTGAATGTGATAATTCAGGAAGCACTAAATGCCATCTCCACAAGGATTCAGAGACTATTTACAGCAATGCACAGTTCCAAGCCAGCAACTTCCACAGAAGCGAGCACATTTTCCCTACAAAAAGAAAATTACTTTTCTCTTCCATCTACTAAGACACACACAGACTAACCCCAAAGTATTAGTCTGACTTTTTTTTTCCCCCAAAACTTGTCTTGGAAAAAGACGACTTGTGCTCAATAAGAGGATAGCCTAAGGCTTTCCATTAGTTTTCTCTTCATTAGAAAAAGAACAAAATAAAAATACAGATAATGTACTGTTAACAAAAAAAAAAAAAGCAACAATGCTGGAAGCTCTGCTATCCAAAACAGACCTCTGCGCTGCCTTGGAAACAAGCTGTCATTAATTTTGTAGTTCAAGTACTTTCAACATCAACCAAAGGCCCTGCCATTTTATTTTTGGTAACTCAAATCAAGTGCTGATCCCACCTAGCAACATATCATGTATGTGTCAGACAGTTCCTAGTATGTTGTTTCAACGCTCCTAAATCTTTAAGTCTGGGGGGAGGAACAAAACCTATTAGAGGTCCTAAGATGTACATAATAACAGGATGTCTGCACACTTTCTGTAACACACTTGGAAGGCACTCCTTTTAAAAGCCTAAGAGGATGCTTTACCACAAGTACCTCCTATTTAAAGTAAACATGTCAGTCCCTTTGTGATTTCAGAGCTCCATCTTTCAGACAGCTTAAACAAAATAACCTGCCTTTATTTTCCTCTCTGCAATTACTCAAAGCTATGATCTTCAACACCGGATTGTTTAAATTCAGGTGCAAACCACTTTGAATAAGTAGATCAACTATATGTGCTCTTATAAGATGACACAAAGTCACACATAAAGCCAAGCAATTCCTTCACCACAGATATTCTTTGCTTCAGAACAGGTTTTTGTACTTCTCAATCAGTACATACATAAGATGAAAACAACCTGCTCAACCGCAGCAGTTGACCACTCCTTGGCCATGCTCTTTTTGAACAGGAGTGCAATCTGCCAAAAGGACTGGAGAATTCTGAAAGGATGTTAAGGAAAGACAGAGCTCAAGTCAGTTTTTGAGCTGTCTCAGTCAGTTTAGAGAACTTTCATTAATAATTTTCTCCAGTATTGTTTGAATTAATCCTACACACAAATAGGCGATAAGGGTTGATGAAACAACCAAATTACTTCATTATCACTTGTTTTCTGACAAAAGCTCTTCTCAAAGCATCAAAGTTATCTTTTTGTGACAGACTTCCAGTTATTTTTCTCTCTGCGCCAGCAGTAGCAAAGCCCTCATTATTTTAGGTAAATGAACCTATATACATATATTATTATTATTATTAATTTTAAGTTCTTTGCTGCTTCTTAAGTGGAGTCGAAGAGAAA